TGTCGCGACAAGTGCAACTGAGGCTCTACACTATTCCACGCTTGTTGTTTATAGGATTCATTTTTTATGCAAAAGATACCTTAGCTACTGCACGGAACACCATTCTGCCCTAGCGCCATATTTGTTCACAAACCGTTGCATTCCATTCACTCAAATTTGTTTGGTAGGGGATGATCAATACAGGGATAACATTGAAGCTGTACGAAGCTTAGGCAATCAGAATATGATTAATTTCGTTCAGCTTGCGGTCTGCTCTACTCTTCGAACCTGCTTAAAAATAAAAGGTTCAAGATAGCTGTTTTCTCTTAAGTCGTTGAGCAATTTGATATTCCGCCCCTGCCAGGTGGTGGGGTTTGAACATATCCGCAGAGTTTTGGATACAAGGCTTGTACAAGAACAGCTTTCATAGATACCGGTGTGAGGGAAATACAGTTAGCTTATTTTCCGATGTAGATAGGCTTCTCGTAGACGGTCGTTCTTAGGGCCTTTATGCACTAAGACGTGAAAAAATAGAAGCCTGTTATTTCGTTCGAGTTCATGTGTGAACTGGATCCTCTCGAAGATGTTTTTCAGGTATTTCTAGAAGTCATCAAATAGGTTATATCCATACTGCGATACCATATCTCTGGACGAAGCGCCGCTGCCCCTGGTATCACTTTTTATCACTGTTCCACGTCATTTTCAGCGATGGTCGAGGATCCAGTGACACGTCCGATTAGCTGATTAGACTCTTTTTCAAGTGCCAACATTTTGGTAGAACTTAGACATGTGCGGGTGGCTTCGAGAATGTCTCTTCTCCAGCCGGCTGACAAGAGGAGTTGCTCACTGCTGATTAGCCGATGTTCTATGATCTTCAGCGTACTTGCGGTCGGTATGTCGTTACTCCCTTTTGAGGATAAGATGGTTAGACTTGCTAGCTATGCGGCAATCATTCGTCTTTGTAATACTTAGACCCTTAGTGTAGTCTGTTCGTTTCCTAGGTTAAACGATTTCCCCTTGTAATCATGGAGTTCCAACACTACCGTACATATTCTTCTGTCTGCTTGTAGGATGACAACCTGTTCCGTTTTGATCATTTTTCTTAGGGAAGTCAGTAGTTTAAAGAGTGGATCCGATCTCCTCACCCCTGGTTGTGGATGGGCCTTCTCACATGATCTGGCCCTAAGATGTTCGCTATGCCACGAGCGATTTCATCCTGTTTCTCAAGTAATTGTGCACTGGCCCTAACGTGAACTCCATACTTGTAATGATTTTTTTCACGGGTGCCTCCTTTGGAGGCAGTGAAAATTTTGGCCTGAGGGCCAAGAGGTTCTTCTCTTCCTTCGCTATGGATACGCCGCTCAGACTGAAGATACTTTTCAGTGAACTGCGCTGTGGGTGTCGTACAACTTTTGACTGGGCAACTGCGGATCTGGCTGAAACGGCTTACACTATAGAACTTTTCCCCCTCTTGTTTTACTGCAATCTTGTTCTGCAACAAGTAGCGTAGAAGTGTGAAGTTCGCTTTGTCAAGTATTTGCTGCAGGAATGCTTGTTCGTCCTTTTACGCAGCTTCTTGATTCAAATGCCATATACCCTTTGACAGATATCATTGGGTCAGAATTCTGCCGCTTCTGGATTCCCTTTTACAACTCACGGTAGTGTCCAATCTTCTATCATTGCATCTCCTGAGGAAGATGTTCTCGCTTGTTTCCTTGATATGCAGTCACTGATATGCATCAATCGCAAAACTGAGAACGTTTCTTTCATGCGACCATTCAATGACTGTTCTGACAGCAGGTCAACTCGTATATACCATGCAGCTTATTTTACTGCCGTATGCCAGTCGGTTGCGTTGTCGGCTTCTTGCATCAGTGCAGAGGAACCGAAGTGCATATTAGAAAGTCATAGGTAAATGTTAAGAGTTGAAAAATGGGACTAATACTTGTAACGCGGGTTACGGCCTACATCGAAAAACTATCTGTTCCATGCTCATCAAGCATTGTCATGTCCCTCCTGACATCACTCCAGCCGAAGGGAGGATTTTGAGCGACTGGGTGATGAAGGAACAGTTTCAGCTCTAAGCACACGACTCTGTAGGACATGAATGGGCTATCGATGTGAGTGATTTGGGTGCATGTGAATAAGCAAGGACAACTCTCATCTATTCGCACTTACAGTGTGCGTCAGAACCCTGATACAC